GGCAACGGGTGGGAGGTATGAGGGACATAGTTTGGGGCGATGTGGACTCAGGTGCAAGCGCCCTCAGGGGATCGCCAATAAACAAATATTACGACGACACCCTGCGAGTGAGCCGTCCCACCAATTTATAAAATATATACTTCTGGTTTCCCGCGCGCGTGTGTGAGGGTGGGAGCATGCAGGTGTGTGAGTGCGTTGCTCTTTATGCTTGGTCCCTGGGGCGCTCTACCGACCTATCTGAGCAAAAGGGAAGTGGGAGGGACGGAAACTTGCAAATCAGATGCACTCAGTGAAAAAAGTCATCATTGTTAAAATTGAACTTGTATCTAAACGAAACAATTTAAAACTATTATTTATTGTTACTCTCCCAATAGTTTATGATAAAATGAGTTGAGAACTGCAATTCCCCAAGACTGATTGGCCTTCCGCACCGCAGTGTCATTCCGTAAGTGCTACGAAGTATCAAACATGTTATTTCTTTTAAAAAATGGGATTGCACCTTTTAAAACTTAAAAACACTTTTGTGATTTCACAAACAAAACCAAGAATCATCTAATCAACATATCAAAATACAATAATCGTACAACGCATTGACACAACAGTGTTATTACAAATAAGATGACCTACTTATTCAGAGAAGCCGTTGTATTGGCAGTGTGCATGCACGGCGGGCCCAAAGACACAACGACAGCCGCCTGACGTATCGACTGGAGGCGCCGCGCCACTCACAATGCCCGCCCCAGCCCGCCGGAGCCCAGCCGAGCCCGGCGGAGCCTTCCGCCCCGTAAAAGGTTCGTCGATTTATAACGCCAATATGTTATAGGTCTGTGCCCCCTCCGCACCGCTCCCCCAAGGCCGTCCGCGGCGGACCTACAGGGCCTCGGCCTCCAGGCCTGTTTCTCCTCCACTTCCCTTAAGGGAGCCCATATGCTATTGACCCCCCGCCTCCGCCGCTTCCCCCCTCAGAGGGCAGGCGCGGCGCGGTGGTCGGCATAAGCAGCCAGTCACTCTCCCCGTTTACGGCTTTCCCTTTATCGGAACGCCTCAGATTGGGGGCGAAGAGGGTGTGAAGGTACCAGTTGCTCTCCAATAAAGTTTTCACGAGGGCGCAAGATCTAACATCCGACTTTCGAAAGTTTACATTTATTTTTTGGAAAAGATGGGAAAAAAAATTCAATTCGGTTGTGATGTTTCTTCTGGCTGCCGGGCCAGGTAATCTGTCGTCGCCTCGTTTTGAGCCCCCAGCGCTGCCAACCGCTCGTGCGAGGCAGGACGAAAATGCAAGTCTGCTCAGCCAAAACCGCGAACCACCCTTTGTTTGCCGCCTAATTTACGAGGTAACATCGAGAATGACGTGACACGGCCCCGCGGCCGCCACACCGCCGCACACGCTATACTCTCTCTCTCTCTCTCTCTCTCTCTTCTGTCTCTATCTCTCGGCCACACACACACGCGCGCGCAGCAACGCGGCAACGGCCCATCACAGGCGACACGAACCGAGGAAATGGAAGAAACGCAATGGCGTTGGGAAGCGCCGGAGTGAGCGAGAGCGAGAAAGGCTATCCGTGCAGAGAAGCAAGGGACCCTGAGAAAAGAGGCGACACAGCACAGCACCGCCGCCAGCGAGAAAGGGTAAAGGGAATGTTTCCACCATGATTGAATTAGCCCTTACGGTAAAGAGGTTGGCACTCTCCTCGCCCTAGTGGGGGGAGAGATGGAGATAGTTCGTGATAGAAACAGAGAGTAGCGCGTGTCCGTATGGGTTCGGCCCGTCTGTTGGAGTGTTACCTTGGGTGCGAGAGGCGCATCGGCTGCCAATACGGGCACGGCACGCACGAGGCGCCCGCGTTAAGCCTCCCCTCCCTCCCCTCTCTACCCCCTCGTGGCACACGCCAGAGAATATCAATTTCCCGCCACCGACACGCCGCCGAGCCGAAGTGTCTGATCAAACACACGGTACGCCGCTTCATCGGGTTACGCCCGTGTGAGCGAGTCAACGTGCGAACGCGGGGGTTATAGCCCGCCGCAGGCTAGGCAATCCCGCGGCGCTCGCGTGTGCGGCGGGCTGGTCTACCCCGCGGGTGGCAGGCGCGCTGGAGTGGAGCGCCGCATGGATAGGCAATCCCGTGGCGCTCGCGTGTGCGGCGGGCTGG